AATAAATAAAATGTAAAGGATTTTTTTTTTTTAATGAGTTTAAACTATACCGGTAATTCGTTTATTATTATCATTAAAATTATCTGATGTAAGAAGTTTGCCAAAAATTAATGTTGGAATATAGATGGATTCATCTTGAGCCCATTTACGAACAGGAATACCACGACCATCATTACAAATTTTTATTTCACCTTTTTCTCTAAATAATATTATGTGTAATAAAGAGTTTGAATTTTAGTTTTATTATTCTTTTGAAGAAAATCTTACTGATTGATATCTACTTCGATGGATGTCATTGTCGAATCACGTTGTTTATTATCAGCAGCATTAACTAAATGGAAACAAAAAAAGTACACATGTGCAATAATTTCTAATAAACTAGTTTGTTTTTACCAAGAATTTCATCGAAAATTTTGTAGAGACCCGGTACATAAGTAATTTCTTTTTTGATAATTTTTGGACCTTCTTCATTTTTGTCATCAAGAATCCACATTTCCTATGAGTATAACATTGTTAAACAAAATATATAAAAATAATAATCTTACTTCGTGACATGGTTTATTTGAACCAATATACGTTTCAGGTCGTTTAAGAATGTGATCAAGTTGTTCGAGAAGTTGATATGTTTCTTCATCTTTATTTGGTGCATCACTAATGGATTTATTCATTGAAGACGCCATTTGAAAAACAACGTCTTCAGTAAAAATAGCGTTTATAAGCAACGATAATGATATATAACTGTATGTTCTTGCACCAAATCTAAAAATAAACGATATCTTGATGTGAAATAGCTTTTGTCTATTTCTTTTCTTTGTTTAAATAACCATGTGACACTTTGTTCGATTATATGTTTGATTCTCTGTTTGAAAAGGTCTTTGTATTCAACTTCGATTTCTGTCTGTTATACGCTTTATATTCAAATGATCAGTCAATTCTAATTCAGCATTATAATTATTCATTTAAAGTGTACAAATATTTATCAAGTATTATTTTCAAATGGTTCAATATGATGTCTAACTTTATTTTTAGTATGACGAAACGTTGGTTTCATTTTATTTCGATAGATGCCCCTGTCTTTCATTAAATGTAAGGCTGGCCTGACTAGGAAAAAAAAAGGTGACGAAGTGCCAGACATGTGGCAATCTCCTAAATGTGAAGAAATGTTATTTTTTCCAATTAAATCGAAAACTTTTCTTGCGTTCTCTCAGAAGAAAATGTTCACATCTTCCTGAGAAAGTCGTGACTAGAGGTTGTCGGGTCCAAAATTTCCGGATTCAGACTTGACTGAATCTGAAACCAATCCGGCGAGCTCCAGTCAAGCTAGTCTTTGTCTTCAATATTAGCTGCTTTGGACCATTTCCGATTGAGTAATATAAATAGTAAAAGAAGAAGGGCACAGAAACTTAAAGACTATCCTTTTTTATACTCATAATCAGTATATACAAGAATTTTTGTAACAGAAACATTATTAGATAGTATTGGATTGTTTATTCTATTTAACTCCAGTGAATAATATGGTATATGGTAAGTATGATTGTAACTAGAAGGCAGAAAGACAAATCCGAAAAGGGTTAATATTATTCTACACTTTTTTTTTACACTAATACCAGTCGCCTGAAGATAAACTGTTTGACTTTTCTTTTCACATCTTGTAATACTTAGAGAACTTGTGTACATCCCTTGCGGACAAAACTTTTTTCTTCTATTGATAATATAACCAGCTATTGATGTAGATACGATATTGCAACTTACAAAGATCTAATTTGTTTTTCACATTCATGCTATAGATGAACTTTACTTGGTTTTTCATATGGAATAATAGTCAGTTCGTTTGCACTATACAGATGTTATGTCTGTCATTCCCTTTTTTAGGTGCATACATGAGACTGTTGACGATTGCCAGTAGAGCAGTGTGAGCAGAATATAGTATAGACCATTTCCTGTAATAATAAAACTTCTTTTTTTTTCACGATAGAATCAGTTAAATTTGTAGCTTATTTCACTTCAAATTAATCTTTTTACTACCATCATCTGGGTTATGTGCCAGGAATCTACGTACGGTAGAACAAGACAGCAAAAAACAGGCCACTGTGATAGAATATTTCTAAAAAACTCGTATCTCGTTCTGTCTCTCATGAGGCCTCATATCCGTCAAATGGTTTTCAAATAAGTGAAATTTAACATTACATTTATGCGTTTGATTAATTATACAAAATAACATACTACCAAGAGCAATCCAAAAGTGGTGATGAAATTACTAATGTATTTCCGTAAAGAAAACTAATGGACACTTTTATAAATGTAGTAATAATAAAAAATGATGCTCTATGTTTCCATGATATTTGATCATTCTTCAACTAATATCATGATAGCAAAGTTCCGACAACAATTGTTTGACACGATATGCGATGATAACATTAGATCATATTATCTTTGATGTGTATCCTGCTTTCGTTTTTTTCTTTGTGGGTACAAATATTAGAATCCTTTTCTCACACTTACATCTACTTTTGAATTATATGGCTGAGATTGACATTCAACAACAGATGAAGATAAATGTTTAGAAGATGTTTTATCAACGATGACTAAAATCTGAATCAGTTCACTACTCCGAACGATTAAAATTAAACGGAATTGCGCCTTTTGTTTATTTATTCATTCATTCAGCATTATCCATTTTACTGTGTTTTAATGGCTGCAATGCATAGTCATTTATAGAATAGAGCAATATTTTATCTTCGCTAATTTCGCTCGAATAAACAAAAATACTACCTATACGAAGAAATAATAGTCATATCGTTCGTTATAAAAAAAAATGTTCATATAGGTAGCTGTTTTTTTCATAGCACAAGATGGAACTATCCCATTCCATGCAAAACCCTGTAATGCACCACTTCAGAGAACAACTATTAGTAAAGAACATGAACTTTCGTAAAACTTTTGATTAAAACATATACAAAAACAAAGCAAATATGTTTAGTGAACAAAATATCAATCGCTTTCAATTTTGGATCAGATGATTAACTAAAAATTTTGATATGTTTTATCATTCATGATACATAAACATTGATCTTACTTAAAAATAAACAATTTTATTGTTTAGCAAATTATATGAACATTATTGTAGTATACAAAAGTGAATATTCTTGTATAATAAGATGCAGTATCTTAAACTTTCCAGAAATATTCATGTTTTAGATGATTTTGATTCTATTTTCCTATGTTAGAATACTAAGCACTCGATATATTTCTTCTCTCAAATGCTACTATTTTTCTAAGAATATCTATATCTTGAATCTGTACTCAAGAATATCCTGAAAAAAAAACATTAGTCGCTCAAAAGTATTGTATTTCTGAAAATTAAATTTCAACAATTATTATGACGCCGTCGATTACAATATTGTCATCATCATGCACACTCTCATTCTCATAAATCATCATGACATTGTCGTAGTCGACATGTTTCTGATAGCTTGTGAAAAATATACACATATTTTGATAACCAAATAGAAAAAAGCAAAACAATGAATGCCAATTATTGAACATTTTAAAAGACTTTTATGCTCGACTTCAGCATTTCTTAGATACTATCAAGACAAAATTTCTCATCAATCAACCTCTGAAAGAGGTTTCACATTGATATTTTTTCTTCTTTTTATTAATTGACTGAAATATACATTGCAAGAAAACATTGAATAAAATCATGATTTACTAGCATAGAAACGTGTGATAATTTATAAAAGAAACTCTAGCTAAAAAGCACATTTATAGTAAGCATATTCAAGGTAACATAGGAGAACGATAATTTTCATAAAAGGTAAAGAAAAAAATATAAGAAATGAGGAGATGAAAAAGGTCAGGAAATAATTCATTATGATACTGCAAGCTTCATCATATATATATGACCGTTTTTAGTAAAATAATATCAATAGAAATATATAATAATCGAAAATCTCGGTTTTTTTTATAAATTCTAATAATCTGCTGTTTTAATAAACAACATAATCATGAGAGCTATTTTTGACTATCTCGACATAAATATTATCAGTAAAACTAGGCGTGTATGATAAGTGAATAGAAAAAATAGCTCCTGTAAACTAAAGAGTTATTCAAGTGAGCGATGTATCTTTCTGTTTCCTTTTTTTTCTTTATGTCTCTGCTGACAGAAAAGCATCACCTATGTATTTCTCTTTTTTCTCTTTCTTGCTGACATATATGCGTTCATTAGTTTGCTGCTCTATGTTGTAATTTATGTGAACATTCAAACTGTCTTCTTTTCATTTTAACAAGTTAACTAACAAACTATCAATATTATTAATCTTTAGTATATCTATAGAAACACTGACTAAAGATATATATGTAAGTTGACTTGACTATGAAAAAAGAATCCAATACTCCAACTAACGTAAATGTCTCACTCGGAAAAAAAAACAAGCTAGTCAAGAAGCGAGGATCACATGTTATTACTGAGTTACATTCTTCTAATATTTTTTTCTCCGCCTTTTAACTGTATGTACATATTTACACAAAATTTTGTTTATATATTTGTGTCTATTTTTTATCAGCGTCATAGCATAAAGAATAATGCATATAACATAGTTGTTGCTATTTACACTATTTTTCTTATTTTTTCCCAAGGTACTGTCGCCTTTCCAATTAATCAAACTTTCCGTATTTTATATTATTAGCAATTTAAATGAGTTGACACTTATTTTTTCCTATATTAATCATCTTCTATGAGTCATTTTATTTTTTATTGATCATCAGGATACTTATTCATAAAGTGTCATTGAAAAAGAATGGTGAACTTTTATATATGAAAAAATCAGTTGCGTATATAATAATGTTCACATTATATGAACGAAGACTTTCTATTATTTCTTTAGTACCTTTTTTTTCATATCATTTGTATCTTGCCATTTTAGTCTTTCATAGTAAATGATGATAAACTGTCTCATATTTATTATTCTATATTATGATTTCAGTTTTTTTCAAAGATAATGATGCAATCATCACAAACTAGTGATGATTTATATCAAGAAGATAATGAATATAACAAACATAAACCAGTCAAACATGTTCGAAGCCATGATATTGATGATCAAAAGCATCAACGACAACAAAAGCAACGGCAACAGTCACCATTTAGAAGTCACAGTGTAATGTCATCTAGTTTTAGACATTCTATACGCAATCTAACTTCATGCACTTTAATAAGGTAAATGAACATAAGATAATAGAATTTTATTAATATTTTCTAATATCATAACGAAACGTAAAAATTCTTTAGTTATTTTAAATACTATGATCAATAAATCAATCTGTGTTATTCAGTTGACAGTGTCACAGATATACGACATATGTTTTTTCTTTCTCTGAAAGCCATTCTGTTTTTCTCATAGGACATGGTGTGTGTGCTTTTTTTTCTATTTTGCTCGTTCATATAATGAGTATTATGCTCTACAACTGATTCGCTTGTTTCAGACGTTTTATTTCCTGTTTTTTTGCCCAAGAAGTAGAAAGAAGATAGTAAGCATGGTTTCTATCGTGTAGTTTTTTTTTCTTTTTTCTATCAACTACTATTATTTCTACTTATAAATGAATATAATGTCGCCATGAACAACATGACAACATAAGAAAGATGTTGATGTCATTCTACTCAATTGCCTAGCTCTCGTTCTTGTTCTTGCACGTTTACATTTTAAATATTGAACTGAATAATTACTCGAAGAAAAAGCGATACTCAAAAATAAAAAGAAAAATACACAGTACGTGCTCAACAACTATAAAGATGAAGCAAGAGAGTAATAACATTCACAATAAAAATCGGCGGCGCATTCATGTTGAAATAGAAGAAAAAAAACAATCTTTTAACAAGTATTTGAAAGAAAATACTATAGTTGTGTGTATCAAAATTATAAAATCAAGTTGCGTTATAAATTGATTATCCAGGAAAAAAAAACTAAATGACATGCTTTTTAAACCTGACTAGAAGTTATTTGATATGAATGTGTATTACAGGTACATGTCACAAACATGCGTTATTTTTTTAATACCTGCAACAAAAATATGAAAGCTATTAAAATTTATTGCTTAGTTTCTTTTTTTTTTTTGTTGCCTTTGTTGTCAACAGGTGACAATAATAACATCCATATAATACAAATGTGATGAGACCACTTTGATGGCTGACCAAAGAAAAGCAGAGATCAAAACAGACGAAGAAAGCATGATTTTATTTGTATCGAGTTTGTTTCATCGTACTTTATTCTCAATCTTTATTTTTTTTGTGTCTCGTGCAAAAAAATATTAAAAGAGAACGTTGCCGATCAACGATATTTTTACGGACGAAAGAGTGAATACGATTGGCACTGGCATTTTTATATGTATATAACATCATATTTTTGTCGTAGCCTCGCTCGACATCAACTATTTGATTCGTCAGGTATTACAACAATAACACGCCATCGTACAAAAAGAAAAACAGGAAGACGAACATTTAAAACTCGATTATATTTTTATAAGTGAGAAAAAAAGAAAATGGGAGTATGAAGGCAACGTCAACATTGACTTTCCTAGTTTGACAAAATAGACGATAATAAGAATGTTAAATTCACTTCGTCGCAGGTATGTCTTCTCGCACTTTTCTATATCGAAAAAAGCATTTGATTTTCCTTTTCATCAATTAATCAAGAATTCATATTTCATAGACTATCAAATTTATAAGATGATTAAATTTTTATATCATTTGGAAGACAAATGTTATTGTTTCATTTTGATAAAGAGTTCGTATATGTCTGTGTATATCAATGTCTATTGCTCAGTATCTTTTCGCATATATAATGTCGAAAAGACGGCATGAATAAAGTAATTTATTCATTTTTACTTTTTTTTACCAATCGCGCATATTGGCACATGTGTATACAAGAATAGGTGCATCTAGGGTAATTTTAGACAAATACCTTTCAAAGACGAGAGACAAATCATAATCATAATATTGACAAAACTTGAGTATATGTAGGTGTATTTGGTTTTTACTTTGTATATATTTATCAACAAAATTATTAATCGGAAATGGAATTCTTTTTCTGACTTCTATCATCAGACATATATAGATATACATATAGCAAGAAATGAGAAAGTAGATACGATGATGATCATCATGGGAATCACACAATATAGAATATGTTTGATATACTATAAAGCATATAAATATTTATCGTTAAACATCTGTATCGCGATCTTTGAAGTGCACTTGTAAGAGTTAATAAAATCGATTACACATACATATCTATGATCAAGTTCAAAACAAATAAATCATAACGAAATTCATGCGAGATCAAATTATAATGTTTGTTTTGTATCATAAAAAAAAAAAGATTTCTGAATTTCAATTAATTTACTTAAGTTAACAATGTTATCCTTTATAGAAAATATTTATGAGTTTTATCATTCCAAAGTTTATTGTACCACAAAAAAAAGAAAAGCAAACATTCTTATCTTTTTCTAATTTTTTTCTCGTGCAATTAGAAATGCAAGATTACTACATTTTTTCATCTGAGTTTAGTATATTGCTGTAGAAGGTTCCATATGGTGAATTTCTCATAAAATCATCATCAGGTTTTTATTTTCTCATTAATAAATATAATTTTTTTTTTTTTATTTCATTCAGACGAAAATCCAGTCGCACACCAGATATTGGTGGTCACAACTTATCAAAGACTGAAGCAACTTCTGTTGTCGAAGATGATCATCAACAGTCACCAAAAGCTCTTCTAATACCAACAAGATCTTTTTCATCATCACCATCAAGTAAGAAATATAAAAGTCGCACTGAATTATCAACACAATCGACCGGTGATAATACTCCATCAAGTGTTAAAACACGTAAATCATCTAATGAAAAGAAAAGTATTGAAATACCATCAACAATATTAAATACATCGGCATTGAATTCGTCATCACAAATAAAATCAACTACAAAAGACGATATATTATTGCCTAATTCACGTATATTATCCAGTAAAGAGGTGAGAAGAAACATATTTATCTTGTGTCTGCTCATTCATTTAAATTCTGTTTGAAAATAATCGAGATAAATTTATCCTTTCATTCACCATCAATATTGTCTGATTGACTAAAGTATTATTTGAATCGTTTTATGATGATTTCATATGACTCGACATATCAGATCAAGCATATCAACATTACTCTTTTTTTTTATTCTTCTCTTGCACTTCTAAACATATATACAGGCTCCCTATCATTTTGTCCCATTACTTTTCGTCCCCTTACACTACGTCCCATTTATTTCGTCCCTCACTCATTTCGTCCCTTTTCATTTTGTCCCAGTATCATTTCGTCCCATACACTTCGTCCCAAACTCGATTGCCCGATACACTATGTTCCTTTAGGGGTGTGGGTGTGGATCTTCTTTTACTGCAGACGTACACTCACACCCACACCCACACCCACACCAGAGCCCGAATCGAACCGACTTTTACGGATTCGAGTTCGGTTCGGTTCGACTAATTTTTTACAAAATTGGTTCGGGTTCGGTTCGGCTCGAATATGTCTTTAAAAAGTGGGTTCGAGTTCGGTTCAGTTCGACTATGTTTAAAAAAATCGGTTCGAGATCGGTTCGGTTCGACTCGAACCGAACCGAACCATTATAGTTCGGTTCGGTTCTTGATAGGCGTGGCATTTTCCTGTAAGTTTATTTTAAACTAAAACTGTTGCCAATATAAATTTAAATTAAATAAAAAATTTTCTGATACCAAAATTTTAATTTAAAATAAATTTAAATTGTTATGTGGAATAAATTTAAAATTATTTTAGATTTAAATTTTTGAAAATTAATTTCTGGAAATAATAATTTTTTGTGAATTAAAATGCAACAACCCAATCGTCAAAATACATGACTTCAAGAAAAATAGATCAGAAATAAAGAGAAAAACTGGTATTATACGTTAACATCCGATCATCACTATAGAAGATCTCGTAAGAAAACGGCCGTGCTCCGTTCCTATTATTTTCTAACGATAATAAAAAACTTGTACAGATACCATTGCTAGTAGACCTGAGAGATAAAAGGTTTTTTTTGATTTCTATAGATAACTATACAAAGTGAAACTTAAATTAATTAAAATGGAGCTTAAAACACTTCAAATTTATTTAGATGTAATCTAAATTATTTTGAGTTTATTGAATTTTTTTGAATTTTATATAAATTTGATTTAAATTCAAAATAAAATGAAATCTTTTACAATTGATTTCTTGACTTGATAAATTTTTGTAAATGTAAATTGATCGTTCACAATCCCTGATGTAAAATGTTCGATTAAAGATCGTTTGATAATCCCATATAGCATCACAATCTTACAAAAAAGATTATAGCTCAGCTAATCATTTTTCTTATGTACTTGTCCATATTTATTCGTTTTTCAAAAATTATTTAGGCGCAGTTTAGTTTGAGGTTGCTTTTTAAGAAGTTGTTCGAGTTCGGTTCGGTTCGATTCTGTTTTAAAAAGGGCGGTTCGGGTTCGGTTCGGTTTGACTACGTTTTTGAAAGCGCGGTTCGGGTTCGGTTCGGTTCGACTACGTTTTTGAAAGCGCGGTTCGGGTTCGGTTCGGTTCGACTAAATTTTAAAAAACCGGATCGAGATCGGTTCGGTTCGAGTCGAACCGAACCGTCTTAGTTCGGTTCGAGTTCGGTTCGTTTTCGGGCTCTGACCCACACCCGCACCCACACCCAACACCCACACCGACACCCCATACCTACACCCACATCCACACCCCTAGAGGAACATAGTGTATCCGGCCAACGAGTTTGGGACAAAGTGTATGGGACGAAATGATACAGGGACAAAATGAATTTGGGACGAAATGAAAAGGGACGAAATGAGTGAGGGACGAAATGAATGGGACGTAGTGTAAGGGGACGAAAAGTAATGGGACGAAATGAGTGTCCACCTATATACATATGCATAGAGCGTGTTACTTTCTAATCTCATTTGCGTGTCATATTGAATCCATTTAAGAAAATAAAAGGATAAGTTTTATTATCTCTGAACTATATGATAGTGAAATCAATGCAGTCTGTTATTGATAGATTACCTGTAATTATCTTTAAGCTTGATGATTTGTAAAAAGAACAATGAATTCATGTTCATAAATCTTTTTCCTATTTTCTGTTTAGATTAGTACAAGTCTAGTTAATCTTATGGGTACTGCATCCGATGCAGTCCCTATCAATAATACAACACAAATGCCAACTCATGAAACTAGAGTAAGTATTTTGAATTAAACTTGTTCTTTTTTTATCATTGATCAGTATTAATGAGATGAAACAAGAAGAACAATGAGAATTTTTCATTTTCTACAGCCACGTAAAAATAGTGTGTTCAATCTCCTTCAGGTATGCTTACAGAGGATGTATATTTACGTATATATATATATATATATATATATATGTATATATGATGTCCATGCTTGTGATTGAATTCTTTTTTATGCAAATTAGTATAAGTTACATTATGAAACTATTTTATAAGTGAAAAATGCTTTACATTTCTGAAATTTTTGCTTTGTTTTTTTTAATGCTAATATACTAATCAAAGTCAGTATGATACTCCTAATAAATGACCTTGTCTACTGCCTAGTATGTCTGTTTTTTGTTGTCGCTGATGTCACGTCATCGAGAAACAGAAGAAGAGAATCGCCGATGATGAACAAAGGCATGAGAGAAAGAAAAATAGAGATGTTTTACTATCAGATGAAAAGAGAAAAAAAAAAACAGAAAGACGAGCACATATTTTTTCATCATCAGAGAAGCAACACACATCTCGAGAACTGATCGCACCGCCTTCTATTCTACATCCAAAAAAATAGACAGAGAAAAAGAATTTTCTTTCTCTTTGCCTCTTGACTGTCATTGATGGTTGTTTGTTATTGTGCCGAATAGTAATGATAATAATAACAACAAAAAATGCATTCCATAAGAATCGATCTTCGTCTTCTTTTTTTCGTTGTTTGACATTGAATATTATGACGGAAATTAATCGATATATATCGACAATAACGAGCATTAACCGCTGATATTGATCTAACCATGAATTCAGATGATAAGTTATCCTCAATGTCACCCTTATTAACACATCGAATCATTAATCTATCACCATTATTTTCTATTCAAAATCAGAATTATATCGTATGTGTTTTACAAATACTAATACATTTCTTGTTCTTTCTAAGACAAATTTTATTGAATCCTTTTTTTCACAGCATATATCCTCTACGCCTGCTGCTCCAGTTGAACGAGTAGTACGTAAAAAAATAAATAAATCAATTTGATTCAATATGATTTTTTTTCAGGGATATTTTGGGTCACCTAATGTCGGTTCACCTGGTATGGTTGAATCACCATCAACACAAAGAACAGTTTGTACGGGAAATAGTCATTTTGGTAATTCTACATCAAATTTATATACAAAACCAACAAATCAATATACTTGGTGTTATGAAAGTTCTGCTTCAATTCCGACAAATAGTGGAACTAGCTTTGATGAATGTTTACCTAAGCTTGAAATTGATGATAAACCATTAATCTATCGTGAACAATTTGAACCAACAGTAAAGAAACATTTTCTCTGGAGTGTTTTGATTTTCTTTTTATTTTAGGAACATTTCAATTGGTATGGTTGTAGTGATATTTATGGACCTGTTATTATTTCATTCAAATATTCAAATGATCAGGATCAACAACGATACGTTATGGCTATTGTTCGGTTAGTGATTATTAGAATCAATCGTGCCATTGAGAATTATTGGTTTTTTTTTTGTTTAATATAGAACTCGACAGCGAACTTCGATTGAATCAATATTAGATATACCATCATCAATCTCTTCTATAGATATTTTACGACGAATATGTGATCAATGTGCCATCAACGATATTGAATATTTCGATCCGGTGCTTTGTGATGGAGTAAAATTCGAGAAAAATTGAATAAATAGATTTTTCTATTTCTCTTAAACTTTAGGCACATGATTTGCTGATAAAATACGATGAATCATATGTATCTAATAGACATAAATTCGGTATTATATATCAACGTGCAAATCAGCTTACTGAAGAAGATATCTTTAGTAATGAAACACATAGTATTGCTATGGATAAATTTCTTGATTTTATTGGTACTCATGTTAAACTAAAAGATTTCCAAGGGTAAAAAAAAAACATTAAAAAGAAATAAATTTAACCTATCTAAACAAGAATTATTTTTTTTTTAGATTTCGTGGTGGTCTGGATGTTAAGTCTGATCATACAGGAATCGAATCAATTTATGAACAATTCAATAATCATGAAATAATGTTTCATGTTAGTACATTATTACCATATTCAAAAACCGAACGACAACAACTTGAACGTAAACGTCATATTGGCAATGATATTGTTGCTATAGTCTTTCAAGAAACTGAAACAATATTTGATCCAGAATGTATTGCTTCACAGTTTTTACATGTTTATCTTGTTATAACACCATTAGATAATGATGGCACACGTTTTAAAGTATCTGTTATTCATCGTGATAGTGTACCATTATTTGGACCATTTATAAATCATTCAAATTCATTTCATTGTGATCATACATTTAAACAATGGTTATTAACAAAATTAATTAATGCTGAAATTGCTTCATGTAAAGCAAGCACTTTTCAAAAGTATCAAGTACGACAAAATATTTTCATTTTTTGTTTCTTGTTATTTCATATTTGTCTTTTTTTTAATTATTATTCAATAGGAACGTACAAGAATGAATTTATTCGAAAATTTATATCGTACATTACATGATAATAATCGCCCATTTATGAGTTTCATTTTTAATCATAGTCAATATAAGCATGAATGTGATATTGAACAACAAAAAGAAGGTACACAAATATATTCTTCCGCAAAAACATATGATCGTCATGCAGATAATTCTTTACTTGGTTCAGTAAGACGTCGTTTCATTGCACCAAAAGTACGTACACAACATTCAGTTACACCACCACCAACAACAATTATTGTTTCAACACCATCATCACATAATATAAGTGATTTGAAATCAAAAACAAATTTAGTGACAATGGAATTAAAACAAAGTGCATCGAAAGAATCAATAACAAATAATAGTAATAATGGAAAAATGTCTTCAATCTTCTATTCATTAAAGGTAAATTCGCCATTATCCTATACATAATTATGTATATATAATAATATTTGTCATTTATCTTGTTTTGTTTCTTATCGAAATGATTGATCAACTATAGTGATTGTCATAAGTCATTGTTTCTGTGATTACAATCGAATGAAGATAATCTTTCTGTCAGCATCTATAAAAATAAGACAATAGAATAAATGTGATTGACTAAATGCAAATCTTTATCCATTGGATGAAAATGTAGTGAAAAAATGTGTGACAACAATATTTCGTTACTCGATCCAAGATGAAATCCCCCATGATTTTGTTTGTTTGTATAGTTATCTGTTTATATTTGATCAGATTTTGATTTAGCCACTAATAGAATCAGAAGAAAACATAGACTTAATGGGTAATATCCTGTGATGGCGTGATAGATAAATTCTTTGAGTGGCTCAATTCTTTGCAAAAATTATGTAAACTCGCCTTGAAAAAATAACACTCGTATAAACGAGCTTGTTTGCGTACATCGTATTTTTCAGAGGCTCAAAAAATTATCCAGCTACTCACTCTTCTATTATATTTCTTCTAATTTTTCGATAAAAAATTTAATTTTTTGAGCAGAAGTTTTACATATCAAAATATGCAAAGGAACATCTTTGTCGCTGAAATATAGCAAAATGTTCTTCTTTTTTATTACTGGGATTAGATACAATGATAACTAATAATAAATTGTGAATATATTGTTCATTATCGATTGGTTTATTTAGTTTCTTTAACCGTTTTACTTAGTTACTGTTCACAATTCCTTGAATGGATTATTATTACTATTATTACTTTAAATGAATTGTCGACAAATTCTTATGGCTTTTTGATTTATATTTATATTCCCATTAAGTATCTGGAATTGTTAAGTCTTCTTTAACTAGTTCATCAAATCCGTTCACACTATTCTTATTGAAAAACAGATTTTTTTCAAAAATATTTCTAATTTGTTGTTTATTAGTCATCATGACTCAGTGACTGTGTTGCTCAATATGCATCCACATGGTACTGTGTACAAACTACAATACCCTCAGCCATGATATTAACCTGGACAAATCACTAACGACTGTTTGTCTCGGATCACACGTCCGATAGTATACTGGGTATTATGTGACACACACCTACTCTTTGTGGTTAGTTAATATGTGAGAAGCTAATACGATTGAGCGCAAGTACTCTGAATCAGAGTGACCTTCTGTTCAGACCTACAGCTAGTCATGGTTTTAAAGAAGATATTGTGTTGTTGACTTTGCCATTAGGCAGTATTCCGTACCACAGAATAGCTGAAAGGTCAGGATATTGTTCCTTCTCTCTTCCTTAATGTTTATTATCGACAGATATTAATTATATTAGATAAATAAATAAATATTTCATACAGATATGATATTTTGATACACATGGCTCTAATAGTTTCTTATAAACAATAGTCTTCTAGTTTTTTTTTGTTGATATATAACAAAAATTAAACAGGTCGCCAAAGGCAGACAAGGCCGATGCAACGTGAATCTGTTTCGAACGATGTTTCCTACTACAACTTCGGCCTAATTGTGTATAAAAGATTACCATGAATAAAAATCCACGAGACTATCCCATATTTCTATAAGTCACTGTGAATCATAGCATGTTATGTCATTTGGTGACTAAACGTCACTACCAGTAAAATGCAAGCTTTTCTCTAAGTTCTCTCGTAATTTAATGAAGTCAAATAAAATATACAACAGTATATTAATTCAAATCATTCCCTATCATTCATTTCAACAGCATTACATACTTCAATCCTACTGCTAATTAAAAAGTATAGAATCATATTCTAATAAAAATGAATAGTCTCTTATGAAATTTTTTATGATCAAAAGTTCTTATTTAGATGAAAATAAATTCTTATCTTTTGTTAATAGAACCAAAGTCCTCAAATGGAAAGATCAAATACTAATCGTGTATTATTAGAATCTGAAAATGCTGATTTATCATTAAGGTAATATTTTCGTTTATAATATTTTTGTATTTTAATTTGGTTATATCACCTAAGTCCTCGTTCAAATTCAAAATTTTTATCACCAGCAACATGTCCATCTTCACCATCTAATTATTTTAATTACAAATTAGATTCATATTCAACTGCATCACCATTTAATTTTAATAAATTATCAATAGATGAAATAGATCATCATCAGTTAGTACTTGATGATCTACAATCTTCATCAAAAGATGGTAAAAATACAAATGAAATATTCTTTTCAAAATATTATTTTAGTTTTATTTTTTATTCTTATTTTAGATTTAATTAAATTTGTTTTTGCATTACAACAACAACATTCAACAAAGTTAGCCCAAATAGATGAAAATCATTCAAAAGCTTTGAAACAACTTGAAATGCAGTTAGTACAACAACGAAATATTATTGATGGAGAGAGTTCATAAAACTAATAAATACTTTATTTTTAACGTTCATTCCGTCCTTCGTTTCGTTGTTGTTCTTCACGATTTTTAATAACAATTAAATCTATCGCTTATCACATGTGTCATATCTTCAAATTGAAGTCTCATCTTTTTTCCTTTATACATATATATATATATGTTTAAATCGCTAAGCTTTGTATAAAATTGCTTGCTTTTCTCTTTTGCTTTTAATATCTGTTATCATAAATACACAGTTGATCTTAATACTAGTATGTTTTCATTACTCATATTTTTCGACGGGTGTCCAAGGACTGAGGTTTGGGAATTCTTCCAATTCCTAAAATCACCAGCTAAAAGTGATATATTCCTCAAGGAACTGAGAACTGACTCTTAAGCACTTCACGAAACCTTCTCGGTTCATCATCAATTCCTCCTCGTGAATGAATCACAAACCTTGGCAACGACAGTTCTCAAACCACGATACCTTCTCATTTTCTCATTTCCTCCCGTGGGTATTGACCGCCGACAGCTCCTCAGATAAGGAATCGAGGAAATAACTAGAACTAACCGTCAATACCGATCGGGAGAACTGACACCAACATTAGCCACCATCATTCGAATCCCATAAGAAGAATCCAGACAATAACAATTACCACACCAATGCGAGGAGACGCCGGGAAACTAAGGAATTGTGACAGTTCTGTTGGCAGTTCATAGAAACTGAGGTGAATACCTAGAAACTTTCTAGGTATCCACCTTCGTTCCAAGAAACTGTCACAGTTCCCCAGTTCTCCGGCTTTTTTCTATATATGGTATAATTTTAGTATCTAAAGAGTACTACGTCGTTTCCTCAATTTCCATGGGAAACTTAGGGTAGGTACCGTGCAGGTCTCCACTTCAGTTCCTAGAAAGTGTCAGCAGGACTGTCACAATTCCTCAGTTCCCCGGCTTGTTTCTGTATCTGATGTGATTTTAGTATCTAAAAAGTACTACGTCGTTATCTGAATTCCACGCGGAACTGAGGTAGATGCCTAGAAGGAACCTACTCTAAGTTCCTATTACTTCGAGAAGGATTGATTAGCTGAGTCGTATACCCCTTCGTTAATAGGGATAATTCTTTATTTTTCCTGGGGAATTGGTCACGGAAATTTCAACCAAGGAATTGTCATTTAGAACTGGGCGGAACTGTGGGGGATATGTCAAGGGAACGAGAAGGACTGAGGCTTTTGGTTTTTTTCTGATATAAACTCTATACTTCTTGGGAGGCTTTCTTGATTCATTTAAGGCAGCATAGATACTAGGGAAAGATTTAACTTCTGCTGACAGTTCCTGGAAACTGAGGTGGATACCTACGCGGTACCTATCCTCAGTTCCCCAGGGGAATTGAAGTAACGACGTAGTACTCTTTAGATAGTAAAATTATGCCATATATAGAAAAGAACTGAGGAACTGTGACAGTTCCTTGAAACGAAGGTGGATACCTAGAAATTTTCTAGGTATCCACCTCAGTTCCTATGAACTGTCAACAAAACTGTCACAATTCCTTAGTTTCCAGGCGTCTCTTCGCATTGGTGTGGTAATTGTTATTGTCTGGATCCTTCTTATGGGATTTGAATGATGGTGGCTAATGTTGGTGTCAGTTCCCCCGATCGGTATTGACGGTTAGTTCTAGTTATCTCCTCGATTTCTGATCTGAGGAATTGTCGGCGGTGAATACCGACGGGAGGAAATGAGGAAATAAGAAGGTATCATGGTTTGAGAAATGTCGTTGCAAAGGTTTGTGATTTATTCACGACAAGGAATTGATGACGAATCGAGGAGGATTCTTGAAGTGCTTGAGGGTCAGTTCTCAGTTCCTCGAGAGATATGTCACTTTTAGCTGGTGCTTTTAGGAATTGGAAGAATTTCCAAAACTCAGTCCTTAGACACTGCTGACAAAACGTTAGTTTTGCAATAAATTCATTTGAAAAATCTTGCATACAGTTTATGTAGAATGACTCTTAATAGAACTACTAAAGCTCATCAAAACCAAGTTTTTACAAATAAATTTTCTTTTTAGCGAATAAATTTTGACTCAAAATGAAAAGAACTAGAAAAGTGACTCCAAAACTATGTCAACTTGAAACTGATCTGTACTAGACCTCCTAAATTCATAATTTTACTTAGTTTAGTCGCCAAAACCTATTAGAATTACAAAACAACAGCCTAAAAAAGTATTGTTTGATCAGCTTGAACATGAGAAAGAAACAGCAGAGATTGGTCTTGATATCTTTTGGAACACCATGAAGTTTGTCGAAGTCTCGCCAAAATCTTTAAACTATAGCTTTTAATATATGTTGAAGTCTCATGAAGTCTGCTGCCTTCTCTCACTTCTATATAAGCAAGAGAAAAATCTTTGTGAAATCCAATTCTTGATCATAAAAGAAACACCTTTCATATTCTATCGAACTTAGATCCAACTGATTCTCCAACTATTAATCTAATGAATATCTGTGTTTATTGCACATAAACACAAAAAAGCAGGTAGCATTTAGCTTTAATCGTTTTCTTTGTGGCTTCATCTACATCACTCAAAATATTTCATTGTACAGCATCCAACTTTGATTGCCGATTGATAACAACTGTTTAAATTGTTTTCATTCATAGATACATGTCTAAATTATAGTTAAATATATTATTTTCATAATGGTTTGAACATTTTGCAGCTTTATACTGCTTGTTATTTATATGAAGTTCAGTTGATCGATGTCTATCTTTAGTGTTGATGATGATAATGAGAATGATGAACTTAGCACCGACTAAATCGATATTAATCGTATCCTGATCTATATTGAATTCATTTCCAGTATTATGCATACATAAAATTTAAATATAATCAAGAAAAAATTCGAAAATAATAATGACTTATACAAAAGAAAGAATATTGAAAAAACAATTCGATATTAATCCTTACTGATAAGCAAGAAATGGAAACGTGTTTAGATTAATCTATCAATGATAAATGAATTTATTTTTTCTTCGTTTAAAAAAACGAACTCTACTGATGAAGTTGATTTCACCAACGAAATTTTAATTGTATATACTAGGAATTATGAAACAATGGGATATCATTGCTTACTATGTTAGGAAGTCGTATCACAATACCAATTTATTTTTCGATTGATTAGCACCATTATATTTGCGAAATAGGTTTTGTAATAACATGGCAAAATAACTTTTATCAGCTGGATATCCTGATAAACAATGTACTTTCGAGAATACAATTTCGAATACATGAAAAAATTATCGAAAATTTTCAAAAGTATTATTGAATCAATCGTATTATTTTTATCTGATTTTGATTTAATAGAAACCTACTCTATTTTATTGCTAAACAAATCGAACTTCAAGAAAAACTTAGATGCCTTCTTCAAGTTCTAAACTTTGGTCTTTCACATCAAAAGGTTAAAACTATTCGAACAGCTTTTTATTAAGCAAAAGGACATGACATTTTTTCTGTTCTTTTCTGTAGAAAGATTTGTCTTTGTTACATCTATTTTCTATAAAAGACATTCACAAGACATAGTAGGTCATAACATTGTGGTATATTTTTGTACGAAGGATTATTTTGTGATGTCTTTCTTTTTTCTTACTTGACTCCATAGAAACTTTAACATTTCTTCTACAGAAGATCAAGTCAAAATTTGTTCGATTTCACGAATATTTTAGAAAAAATATTTCATCTAAATAGATGGAAAAGATAAAGATTTATTTACAATCGTTCTATGTATACTACTGGATACACATATACAGACAATTAAAGGTAATGAAGTAATATTAGAAATTTTTCTTTTTTGCGAAATCATGTTTATACATCATTGTTATCAGTAATATAAAATTATCAATATCTGTTTATAGATTTTCTAGTGAATAAAAAAAAGCGAAAAGTTTTTTTCCTAGAAAAATTGTACGATAGTAGTGTCAATAAAACGTATTTACAATACTCAGCTTAGTTTTTTGATGAGAACACTTCCTTAGCACAAAAAAGCACTACTTGAGGATTTATGTTTTAGCAACGAAAAATCATTTTCTAACTGTTTGATTATCATATAGATTTCATTTAGTTTAAATTCAAATTGATTCGATAATGTATCTCATTAATACACTTGAATATAAGATAGTCTTGTTATTTTTGTATTCTATTTTTCCTAAGTCATCTGACATGTGAATGAAAAAAATTCCATGAGCAAAGCTTATCTACTACAGCCAATAGTGTTATATTAAAAATAGATTTAGCATGTTTGGATGCTCGAAACTCTTGAAAAGTTTCGGAATCAGCAAAAGTATAGTATTTCTACTTGACGAGCTATTTCAGGAATATTCTCTTGAGATAAAACATGGTATCTTTCTTTGCTTTTCATCTATTTGTCAGATGTCTATCATCATATACGTATCTTCTTCTATTTGTTGTCGATTAGCTGATACATAGGATTTAATTACCATGGTATGTTTGTAACTTAACAGTTAAACACATCCAAGTCAAAGGTTTCGCCATTCGATTCCATAGGTTTTCAATGGGAAAACTTCGGAAGATGTTAGAAACTCGGAAGTAAATATACAATGATTATTTTTGGTAATCAGCTGATCCAGGTTATGCTCATTTCAAGTCGGAGCCAGAAATAGTCAACCACTGGATTTAGATATCATATATCTGCCTGAGATTTATGAGAACTCTAAGATTGGAGAGTTGTTTAAGAAGATATTCCAAAGTGCAATAAAAACTAAAAAATAGCTTTCTAGCTTTAGTGGGCGATAAGGAATCATTTTTAATCCTGCAGAGGATATATATTCCTTGTGGCCGCCATACGTGACTCCTGCTTCCCCGTTCCAACCATTGTTCAAAGTTTATTGACCAGAACCTGTTATACATCATTCATCTGATAATGCTGAGTTTTCTTTAAAAAAATCAAATTTTTGATTATTAGTACGGTTTTTACTGTCACAAGTGACTTATTGATACTAATCTCATTATTTAGTATCGA